GGCAAATACACTACAGCGATTTATAAGATTTAATAATCTAGCTGACGTAAAATCAGTAGCACAAATCTAAGAAGAACAGCATTCACCGCCTCAGTTCTGCCTAAAAATATCTGATGATGTAAATTCTGACACGTCCTTGAGCAAGAAATACTAGCGGTGATGGGGTAAAAATATCATTCCCAACTCATTGATTTCCTATGGTCACAAATCTTTTACCCTATAGTGCCACTGTGTGGTTGACTGTGCAATTTAATGATCTTATATTCTATATAACTGGAGTATTTGGACACTTAAATCACTAAAATTCTGCTGGATCTTTTCTCTTCTCTGGCTTTTTTTTTTTGTTTGTTTCTTGATTTTTGCTTGTTTAACTGGTGATCTTTTTAGTGGTCGTACTGTCAAATGTTTACTGGCAAAGTGTGTTTGTGCATCTTTCTTTACAATAACCACACTTATTTTATAATTTGTAATGTATGTAATGCAACGATGCAGACATTTTGAAGCAAGCTTAAAGAGATAGTTAACCTAAAAATGAAAAATCTGTCATCATTTACTTGCCGTTCTGTTGTTCCACACCTGTATGAGTTTCTTTCATCTGTTGAACGCAAAAGAAGATATTTTGCAGAATGTTGTTAACCATAGTATGTTTTGTGTTCAACAGAAGAAAGAAACTCATACAGGTTGAGGTTAAATAATGATGACAAATGTTTCATTTTTAGGTGAATTATCCCTTTAAGTGTCCAAATAAGTTTTAGTTAAAATAGATAAAATAGTTTTGGGGCAACTGTAGCCTATAATAATTATTTTCTTAACATTGTCTTTCAAATGCATTCATTGCTCATTGAGATGAATTGATGAAATTAGCAATGTATTTTATTTGATTGTATTTTAATCTATTTATCATGATGTGTAATGCTTTAATGGAACGATGTACATGTTTTGCTGTGCTGTTGAACAGTGTGGTTTTAATGCATTGCTGATTTGGAATTTGGCAACATCATCACACTTGGCAGAGAACTCTTTGATGAGGTGAGGTCACCATGGCAACGAGCTGGAGCAGTTGTGACGCACAGGGACCCTCCGTCACGTGTTCTGATCGCAGTTCCCGCGCCCGTCCACTAGAGGCAGTCATGACCTCATCACAACCTGATGCAGACAGCAGCTTTCTCTCTCAAAGACGGCCATTTAAAACTAGATATGTTCTTCTGTGTGTTTTTAGAATAGTAGATGTTTTTCCAGTGGCTGGTTTATCATATTTCTCACACAAGCCGTTACTATTATGTTGTCATTCATATTCTTGTGCATTCAATTCAGTGATAGTCAATGTGTGAAAGCAACAAAAACACACTTTTTGGGAGATGATGGTGAGTAAAACAAAACTCAACATTCAAACCAGCGTTCACATGGTGTTTCAAAAATATACATTCATACAGAAATTTTTACTGCACAACCCTTATGAAAAATAAGTAGCTTTTAAGTTTGAGTATATTTTTAAGTAACCAAATGTAGTTAGTTTACTAATATCAATGTACTAGAAGTATACTTGTAAGTGTACGGTTTCAATACTACTCGGGACTAAATTGTCCCACTTGTTAATGTAGCCTATAAAAGTATCCTTTAACTTTACTTTAAGTGTAACACAACTAGTTTACAACTAAGTTTGTTGTTTGTACTGCAACTATTGGATTTATAGTTAAACTGGTAGTCAAATACTTGTAGCATATTTTTTTAGTTTATGTAAGTACACTTTGAAGTACACAACAGTAGTTTAGTAGTTTTATACTGCAAGTATGCAAGTTTTCTTTAAGTTAAGTGCATCAACACCATCAAAGCTTCACAGTTGTTTCCTCCTCATGGGTTTAACATTTCATTCAGTAACATAGGCAGTTTTGATTTATATGCTGTTTAGTGTTTAATAATCGTGTTTTACATTTGCGTAAGCAATCTTCTATCACTTGTTTCTGCTTCTTCACCTGTTTTGATCAGGAGATTCTGTACTAAAAGATGCCTACTAGCGCCCCCTAACAGAGAAACATGAATTGTAAAAAATGTAGTTGAGGACAGAGTAAATTCTACCGGTGGACTACAAAAAAATCAGATACTCAGAATTAGGAACATATCTATTTTCTTTATAAATCAATATTTTCTAACAATGTCGTTTTTTAAGACAGTATGTGAAACTGTGACAACAAGTATTTAATAGGCTACATACTACAAGCCAATTATTCTTAAAATACTTAATTATACTTGTAATTAGGAAAAGATTGAGTAGGCTAAATATACTTGGACCTTTCTGTCAGTACAAGTCAAGTATACTTAAATGCAAATTTAAGTATATTTGTGAGAACTACATACAAAGTAGACTGAAAGTATACTTTGTTTTTGTTTATTTTTGTTTAAAAGAAGTATACTAATACCACACTTTAATGAACTTCTTTTTCGCAAGGGAATGTCATTAGAGATCAAATTGCTGAAAGTCTGTTCACATGTAAACTCCAGATTGCTGAGGCTCTTATCTTCTTTCCCACAATTCTGTGGATCTACTGACCTTGAAAGTTTTTCACAGATCAAAACAGCAGAAATAAAACAGAAGTGTTGAAATACAGCAGCTGAGCACATAAAATCAAGTAGAATCCAGTCAATATGCTATTTATCTATTCTATGCTATCTGTCAAAACTGCTTTGTAACAGTTTTGTAGCTTAATGTGATCAGCTACTGAGCGACTGACAGTGCAACACATTGACTTTGATGGTTTTGACCTTGCTGTCGTGGCTGCTCATTAACCATATATGACCCTGTAAGTTTAACACATGTAATGTTTGTATTATGATTATACTTTTAAAAGTTTGATAGTGGCACAGAGCAACCAAAGCATTTAATGGTTGGAGACTTTCATATATTTAATTATAAATTATACAAATGGAAAATAATTGTTCCAATTGAGTCTGAATAAGCAGAAGAACAAGTGTTTAATTTGAGATTTCGCATGCTTCAGTGGTTTTGACAAACTCATGCTGAGTCCCACGGCACTCACGGGAAACGCTTTCTTTTTTAGGAGAAGAAATATTCACACATAAGAAAGATCTTTTATGTTTTTGCAAAGCCCACAGGTCTGATGTTATTACTTCAGCATTTGTTTTAATAGAAAGACTGCGGATATACAGACACAGAATCTCAGACTGACGTCGTGTTTAATTAGTTAAACACACACACACTTTAATATCACTGGAAGTGTAAAATCCCAAATGCATAGAGTCTTGGTACAAAAATTAATTGAAAATGTCAGACAAACAAATACAAAAACATTTGAATAATTAAGCAGTGGCTCTCTCAGAAGTCTGAGAAAAAATTGCGAAAATGGTTCCATAATTGTTATTTAAGCATTTTGTTCATCTTGTGCTGAATGATATTTAGGTAACACTTTTTCAATCAGGTCTCATATGTTAATATCAGTTAATGCATCAACTAACATGAACTAATATTGAGCAATATATTTAAAAGCCTTTGTTGATGTTAGTTAATAAAAATGTTAATGTTCATGTTAGTTCACAGTGCATTAACTAACGTTAACAGATACAACTTATGATCTTAAATACGTTGAGATTGACATTAACGAAGATTAACCCTTTAGCTGTCACCCCCCTTTTTGAGCGTTGACGTGAAAATGCACTACCCAAACTTAAACGGTTGTAATTCATGAAGCCTTTGTACTAAAGACTTACGGTTGGTCTTTTTTTTTTAAAAGAAGACTCTTGGCAGATTATTGCTGAAGTGGAATAAAATAAAAGAATTAAATTATTTAAAAGTTATTGAAGTTTAAGTGTATTGTTATGAAAATATAATAAAATATATATTTTTCTTTTATTAAAAATATATACAAATTAATATAGGTTTCAACCTAAAAATGACAGAAAGTCAAAGCCATATATCTAACCAAGTTGTGTTCCAAATTTGAAGTTGAAATCACAAACATTGAAGTTCCCATGAGATTTTGTTTAGGCGTAATACCAAAAATACCCACCGGGTGCCATTGCATTCCATTGAATTTAATTGTATGCATTCTGCCATAACAAATTAATAAATTTCTATCCAAATATCACTAATGTCACTAAATATGGAACCTTGAGACTGAGACCTTTCTGACAATATGTGTTTTGTCAAGATTAGAACATTTTTGGTAATAAATTATGAAAGATGATGCCCAAAAGGGGAGGGGCCTAAAAAAAATACCGTTTCTATGGTAACACAACGTCCAATTTCAAAACGGGTTTCACAGGATTAATTCTGAGTTCGTAAGCTTTCAAATGATACCTAATTTATGATAACTGCTAAAATATGTCATATAATAATAATAAAAAATTATATGTATATATATAATATATATTATACTTTTTAGAGGACTTTTTACTTTACTTTTTAAAATATAATTTGATCTTTTTTTATTGACAAATACTAGATTATGTTTTATTATGAACTTTTAGCATTAAAAAACCAAAGTTTCAATTATTAAAAGTGTGTGCGTCAACTTTTTGTGACAAAGGTCAGAAACTCCTGTAATGAAGTTGATTTTTTGAGGCGCACTCTTGTCATAAATTCATATATTACTGTTCATACATAATTTGTAAGAAAAAAACAGCGCTAAAATATCTATTAAGGAGTCTTAGAACTTTCCAACGATATATAGTTTGTCATGACTAGATTAGGATTTAATAGTAATATAGTGAAGTAAATTTAGGTTGCCCGTATACGGGCAGGTGACAGTTAAAATGCTGTAGAAGTGTTGGTCAATGTTATAGTAAAATGTTAACTAATGAAATCTTATTTGTTCTGTAACTGATTTTGTGATGCATTGTACTATATTATTTACAAGGATTTGCTTGTATTTCGAGTCTACAATTAATAAAAATAATGATTCAAAAGTTTTTCAATTTCCTAAACACACTGTAAAAGTTGAGTCAAGCGCGCATACATCATTCACTCCTCACTATACATGTGTTCTCCCGTTCATGTCTGAATTCTGCACATGTATTAGTCCTTGTTGTCCATGCTGAGGCCTGACAGCACAAGATCTTTCAGGAAGGGGAAGATGTTGTTGATCAGGCAGGTGAAATAGTGGAACCAGGGGTAGTAGGCCTCTTTCTGACGGGACGCCCCGGCTTTGATGATGCTCAGAGCCGCTTCACTCGCAGGATAGGCCGTCATCGTGGTGAATCCTCTGAGAGAGATTCGAGAGAGAACAGTTATGGGGGATTCTCAGGAAAACACGTCCGGATCGTTTTCATCACTTAAGCGAGTTGCTATGGATTAAAAGCATCAGCCGAACACTTTAATGAAGCAATACAATAGTAGCCAAAAGTGATGTTCGAGGGGGGGATCTGTTTTTATGACCCTACAAAAATATTAGGAAAACACTCAACTTGGTTAAGGCATTTATCTGACTAAATTATTTGGAAAAATGCAAACTACAGCTACAGGTTTTATTTTACTATGCCTATAAAAAAAGCATACATAATCAGTCATTACTATTTCATTGGTTCTCTCTTGGTTTTCCATGTGTTTATAATTTGTAAGACAGCCTGGCCAAAAATTATGTCTGCATTAATTTGGCATTGCAGTATCACAACAAAAACAATCAACTCCAAGCTATGCAATATGCTTACAAAATCTAAACAATTTTTAGGGTGAAGATGCAAATTTTCCTTGGGCGAACTCCACTTTTGGCCACTATTGTATGTTGTACAATTACTGTGTGTGTGTGTGTATACAATACCATTCAAAAGTTTGGGGAAGTTTTTTTTTTTTTTTTTTTTTTTTAGAAATTAATACTTTTATTCAGCACGGATGCATTAAATTGCTCAAAAATGACAGTAAAGACTTTTATAATGCAACAAAAGATTAGTCGAAGAATGCTGACAAAAAATGTATCATTTTATTCACCAAAAAATATGAAGCAACAGCACAACTGTTAATAAGAAATGTGTCTTGAGCAGCAAATCATCATATTAGAATGATTTCTGGAGGATCATGTGACCCTGAAGGATGGAGTAATGAGTAATAAGAAGTGAGCAGAATGTAACGCATGTACAATTTTGTATTTTTGAAAAAATCATGTTCAATCAAAATGATAAAACTTGAGTCACTGAAATGGGGCCATCAGACACATACTAAACATTTGCATATTGACAGCTGAAAATGTGCTTCGGTTGTGTCAGTGTGTGTGAAGCTGCTAGAATGATTATTCATGATCCATGAATAGATCACCAAAGTAACAAGATAAATGTGCTGAGGACAAACTGCAAATGAATTCATAACCGGCTTCCTAAAATATTTAGAGTGATGCACAGAAAAGATTGGAAACATTGATTGCATTTTGGACCACACCAATGTCGACAGAACAAAAACTGTAACACTTTACAATAAGGTCCGTTTAATTAACATTAGCTGATGCATTACCTGACATTTATTGTTAACATGCATCTATCATTAACCATTCAATTGACAAATGTATTGGTAAATGTTGAAATTAACATCAAGATAAATAAATTCTTTTTCAAGTATTTTTTCATAGTTTAAGTAGTAATGCATATAACTATTGTTAACAAATGAAACCTTTTTGCAAAGTGTTACTATAAAAACTTTAACTAGTCATTTTAAACGCACACAAACTGCATATTAGAACCAAAGTGGTACTTTGTCTTAATGTGATCTTTGTCAAACAATTAAGCTAAAACTTTATATTTTTAATATATTAATCATTGTAAATATATAATAGAAATAAAATGTGTTTTACATATAAATCATTCTTACCATTTTAAAGAAAAGATATCGCATAAAATAGTACATAATGATTATTAAAATAAAAACTCTTGTGAAAATTGCCATTAACCTGATGTAACATTTAAGAAGCAAATTGTAAATTCAGCATTTATTAAACATTAAACTGCTTGGTATATGATAGAAAGTTGATTCAAGAAAATGGTTGCAAGATCCAAACCAATTATGAATTACTTGATGAAGGTGATAATCTATAAAAGGGATGTTTTCTTCAAGTTTTGCAGTATCAGAAGTGCTAGATTTAGTCCGTCATCAGTTCTGTCTGTAGTGAAACTAACCTGATCTTCTTCATGGCCGACTCGGTGTCGATCAGTCCGAGGATCATGATGGACACCGACACGTTGCTCTTCTGGATTGCCAGTTCACTCTGCATCGCCCCGAAGAATCCGTTCATCGCAAACTTAGTAGAGGTGTACGGAGCCACAAACGGACTTGCCAATTTACCTGAATCAGAGAGGAAAACAGCGTGGACCTTTAGTCCTTTATAACTGCATGTGACTGACAAGTGACAACAACAAACAATTTACACAGAGAAAATTAATGATTGTGTCCCAAATCCAGTAGCGGCCTTTGCTGTGTTTCAACAGTTTCACTTGAAAAAAGAAGGGGCCTCCATTTGTGCTCAAAAAAGCCACCAAAATTAATAAAAATGCCCCAAAAATTCAAGGTATGGGACATTTTTGTCTCTGTGCGAGTCTTATTTTTAATATAAATGATAGTTAGGCAATGCCACACGAGCTAAAGTTCAGCACGTTTGCAAATGTCATATTGATTTTATACAAAAATTCAATAAACATGAGGTTACTATTAGGTGACATATTTAAGACTCGGAATATTGTCTGATTTTGCTCTATTTCGGCAATTAAAATAATTCCAAACAAATCCACAGCCATTGCGCGTCTCCGAGCAACACGGTAATGTTTCGTTACTGAATGAATCCGCGTGTTTGAATGAATCGTTCTAATGAATGACGACTCACTCATTAACACAGTGGCTGCGTCCGAAATCTCATACTTCCTTACAATATAGTAGACAAAAAACAGTATGTGACAAAAGAAGCAAGTCCGATTTCACAGTAAAGAGGAGGAAAAGAGTACCCGGATGATTCTTAAGTGTGATACGATGGACGCTTTACTATCCCATGATGCCCCGGGAGAGGATTTTTACGAACTGATGCTGAGAATGACAACATGTCGAATGTAGTACGTCCAGATTACATTCATACTATAAACATACCAGGGGCGGAGCTAGACTCTCAGTACAGTGGGGGCGGAGCTTCATCATGGGGCCCTCTGCTGCCAAGTGATTTTAAAATTAAAACCGTAAAAAAAAAACTTAAAATATCTGATGAATGCATATGTAATAATGTGTCACTTGTTGAGCCAAGTAAGCTTAGGCCTATATGTTAAATAAAACACAAAGGCTATCTCGTTCTTTTCAGAGAACAGTCTGTTTTCTTTCGTTTTGAATTGTTCTGTAAAAGTACACATTTTGAGCTTTCTATAGATATATTTCTCAGGTGTGTGAGGCAAGTAGGCCTACTCTGTGTTTCGGTTCATTTATGACTCACAAGACGAGCTCCAGTTCACGCGCCGGCGCGATTATCTATTGTCTGCTATATTTACTTCTTATTTATTAAATCCAGGCAATTGGTTGATGAAACATTGATTAGAATGAAGATACAATTAACACAAAACGAAATTCGCCTTAATGAATGGCTTTGTACTTTATGTTTGATGTCTCTGGGAAAATTTTTAAAAGCAGTCTTTCAGTGCCGCTTTCAGAACGCTCACGTCCGTAACGGGGAACTGTCACGTAACATTGTTTTTCCCTCATAAATGCGAACACGAAAAATAAGACAAAATGAATATTTTGTTCTGTGGAGAGCCAGCCCTTCTTCATCCGGTGGGTTTAAGTTTTTTTGTGTCACGTCCGTGTATTTCCCTCATATTAAATATAAAACGCATGTGTAGACTGATATTTTTCTAATGTCTGGAGTCTGGACTCCTTTATTAAGGAGGATAAACAGACGTTTCAATATATTGGTATTAAATGCATTTTCTGAGAATTTACATTTCAAGTTTTTTACCAAATGTCACGTCCATAACGCTGGAATTGCCCAATTTTAAAGAAATTATCCTCAACTGTGATGTAGTGTAAGTCTACGTATTTTATAATGTTAAAGGAGCTGTATGTAAGAAATTTATTTCAATTAATCATAAAATGGCCCTGAAATGTCACTAGACATTCAGAAATCATGTACATTTCAAATACTTATATCACTGACAACAGTAGTCTGGCCAGGATATTGTCATTTAAAAAGTGCAGTTGCAGCCCTCAACTGATGTTGATGTTGTCATGTTGTGTTTTGGTCTGATGCTCCACCCTCCACCTATCTACCAATCACAAAGTCAGTAGTGTTGCGGCATCCGGGTTGCCAGCTCTGCTCTAGTTACCACAGCTGCAGCTCGTCACGTTCCTGCTGGATCCTGCAGCCGATCTGGCAACCTCGAGTCAGGGAGGAGGGGGAGGGGATACACCACTCTACAGTAATTTGACAGTGATTGCAGTACTAGTTTTGACCACAATCTTACATACAGCTCCTTTAACTTCAAACAATAGCCTACTAATAGTAATTTAAAGATGTGGTAGCATTGGATCTGGACGGGAAGGATAACGCTGGGAGTTGGAGTGTGTCGCGATTTTGCCTTCTCACTCACATTTCGGTTTCATATCGCATATCAGCCACTAAAGAAAATGCCAAAAAATAGTAACGCACAGTAATTTGGATCAGTAATTTTAATCTGATTACTGGTTTGGAAATAGTAACGCTTTATTACTCGTTACTGAAAAAAGTTACCGGCATCACTGCTGGCGAGGGCCCCGTTCCTGTCCAGTGACGCAAGATCGGCGGCGTTTGAGGGGCCCCTAATTGGCACGGGGCCCTGGGGCGGCCGCACCCAAGCTATCTCCGCTACTGAAACATACTTTTTTAGCTGTCGTGAAGTAATAACTTATTCAAAATAAGTACCTACTCAAGGGAGCATGTGATTTCGGACGCAGACAGTCACTTGCTTTGTCCCTAAAAGAATTAGCCGCTTTAAAGGCACATTATGCAGAAATTGTGTTTTAGTCAAACAGTGACCCCTATAGTCGCTGTGGAACACTTACACTGTCGTAAATAGCTATCTAGACATTATGTGGACATTTTTGGACTGGTCTAATTATCAACAATGGATGAATGAACAGCATCGTAAAAAAATGGCATACTACAAGCAAGCGCAACAACATAGAACGCAATCAAGTTTAGAAATAAGAGATTTAGGCTACTTAATCCATCAACAAGATCGCCAGGTCAGCATCGCGGTTGAATCCAGTGCTGCTTTTTAGCTCGCGCCAACTAGTGAAAGCCCGACCGAGTGGGACTGTCACAAGGAAATAGTCAAAGGATTCAGTTGCGAGTAAACAATAATTTATTGAGCACAATAGTAGATATCCGTGTGGGTCAAAATGGAAGCAGACAGAAGAAGACTCAGGCTCGGCAACGCAGGGACGCAGTGGGCGGGCAGACACAGATGCAGGAACAGGTAGAAATTCCTCCGGGAAAATCTCAGGAAACCACAGCATGGTACAGGAGTGGAATGCAGGAGAACACGGCGAGTAGAACCCTGGTAGCCTCAACTACCATCTGACAAAGACAGGACGAGGTAACAAACAATATATCGGACATCCTCATTCAAAACAGCTGGCGCTGATCAGCTCATCAGCCGCGAATCAGGGACTCTTTTCCGGTTCCTCACGTGGTCAGATTCTCATTTCCTTTTCCAAGTCTCTTCCGACCGCGTTTTCTTTGCTTCTTCCATCGTCAAGTATCACGTCTGAAATGCGCGCAAGTGTCTTCGTGCTTCATATGTGGTTGTTGATGTGTGTGACGTCGTTGCCGTAAAGCAAGTCGTGATTCTCGCGAGATTTGTCGGGGGCGCTCCTCTCAAACTTGCATTGCTGGTTTTTCCAGCGGCGACCCCGCCAAGCTTTATTACCAGGATGATTCGCCCTACTATGAGTTTGTTTACCACCGAAATGACTTTGAAGCTGTTATATCAAGGTACAATTCTTGCATAGTGTGCCTTTAAACAAATCATTTAACTGAATGATTCAATGACTCGCTTGTTAAGACAACGATTTGCCATCACCTACTGGCGGTTTAGTTTCATATTTAAAAGTATTTCATTGTGGTTGGAGATGGAATGCGTATATAAATAGACTATTACTAGTGAAGTATGAGATGTTAAATGTAAAATATAACAAAGATAATAAAGTAATTGCAGTTTCATTGCATGAAATGCTTTTGTCTGTCATTTTTTCCTCATATGGTGGGGTTTGGGGGGGGGGGGGGGGGCATCCGAATTGCAAAGGCTGTCTCTGCCCAAATCATAGCCAAAAGTGCTTTTAACTAGATTAATATTAACTATAACACCAACAAAGTTAGACTCACCTGCCATTGAGGACACTACAATGATGGATCCAGCGGATGTCTCCAGCACAGGAAGAGCTGCTGCTGTCATCTGTGTGTAACTCACAAAATTCACCTGCAGCGAGTCAGATCAGTGTGAACAGAGAACGAAGAAATACACACATTGCAACAAAAGCCATTCTCTCAGTGTTCGACCTGCATGAGTGACCTGACGTGGTCTGCGTCTCTGTTCCAGAACTCTACGTTAGTGTTTCCAACATGATTCAACACTAGAAAGTCCAGCCCACCTGCAGGACACACACACGACATGCGGTCAAAAGTTTGGAATCATTAAATAAGAGTTTTTCTTTTTGAAAGAAGTCTCTTATGCTCACAAAGGTTGTATATATTTGCTCAAAAACACAGGAAAAATGGTAATATTGTGAAATATTATTACCATTTGAAATAACTGTTTTTATTTTAATATATTTTAAAATGTAATTTATTTCTGTGATCAGAGCTGAATTTTCAGCATCATTACTCCAGTCTTCAGTGTCACATGATCCTTCAGAAATTATTCTAATATTCTGATATCAATTTATTGTTTATATTCAAATAGACAGAGAACAGTTATTTCAAATTGTGCGCATCTGAAGTGTCTCAGCTGAAGGAAATAATCCATTATTTATTGCCTTTAAAATATCTGCCAAATATTCTTATTGGACCGATAATAACCTTAATATTATGAATGAATATATACCGGCCGATATATGGTGGCCGATATATCGTGCATTCCTAATTTTATTAACAAATAAATGCAGCCTTGGTGTCATACATTTTTTTTTAATTATTGGTAGTGTATATATTGCATAATATATTGAATCATTTCTCACCCAGTTTTTCCACAGCGTATTTGACGACTCTCTCGGGGTCCGCGGGGTCCGACATGTCTCCGGTCATATACATCATCTTCTGTGCGCCCAGTTTCACACACTTCTGCGCCACCTGAACATCCACAGATCTTACAGATCACTTTCATTTGCTCATTAAAGCCTTTGCTTTCGTACAAAACTTCACAGCCTTACAACCTCTGCATTACTTTCAAAAAAAAAAATATGGGCATCTACTGATTAAAGTCCATAATTAATTGAAAAAGTATTGGGAATGTCTTAAAGTGTTTCGGAAAAACGAACTGACCTTTTTTAAAGCCTCTAATCGTCTCGCAGTGATGATGATCTGAGCCCCAAACTTAGCGTAATGGTAGGCCATCTGCTCCCCGATCCCTGAACTGGCCCCTGTGATCAACACTCGGGCCCCCCGAAGCGAATCTGTGCTCAACAACACACTGCTCTCAGTGTAACTCTTACCCAACCCACCGCTTGATCTTGATCAGAAGATTTATTAAGGCTTGAACTCCCAAGAAGGTGAGATGGTCCTCACTGCAGAACACGAAATCCAGGGGGAGGAGTTGGACCCAGATCCAACTCCTCCCACCTTACATACCTAAACCTACCCATCTCCGCCCCCTGATCCCTAACCCCACCCCTAATCCTACCCATCTCCGCCCCCTGATCCATAACCCCACCCCTAATCCTACCCATCTCCGCCCCTGATCCCCAACCCCACCCCTAATCCTACCCATCTCCGCCCCTGATCCCTAACCCCACCCCTAATCCTACCCATCTCCGCCCCCTGATCCCCAACCCCACCCCTAATCCTACCCATCTCCGCCCCCTGATCCCTAACCCCACCCCTAATCCTACCCATCTCCGCCCCCTGATCCATAACCCCACCCCTAATCCTACCCATCTCCGCCCCCTGATCCCCAACCCCACCCCTAATCCTACCCATCTCCGCCCCTGATCCCTAACCCCACCCCTAATCCTACCCATCTCCGCCCCCTGATCCCCAACCCCACCCCTAATCCTACCCATCTCCGCCCCCTGATCCCTAACCCCACCCCTAATCCTACCCATCTCCGCCCCCTGATCCCTAACCCCACCCCTAATCCTACCCATCTCCGCCCCCTGATCCCTAACCCCACCCCTAATCCTACCCATCTCCGCCCCCTGATCCCTAACCCCACCCCTAATCATACCCATCTCCACCCCCTGATCCCTAACCCCACCCCTAATCCTACCCATCTCCACCCCCTGATCCCTAACCCCACCCCACCCCACCCCTAATCCTACCCATCTCCACCCCCTGATCCCTAACCCCACCCCACCCCTAATCCTACCCATCTCCACCCCCTGATCCCTAACCCCACCCCACCCCACCCCTAATCCTACCCATCTCCACCCCTTAGATCTGGATCCAACTCTGCCCCCTGGATCTCGTGTACTGCAATGAGGTGCTACTGAAGAAGGTTAAAACAAAGTTAGAAGCAATTTAACTATAAAGCCTGTGTATCATATTTGAATCATCTAAATCATCAACATGATCAAAATGCTGAAACCCTGTTGCACACATGCAAGCCTTTTAGTATGATTGTAAAAGCGTCCACCTTCAGCTCGTGGTTCACATGTCTTTCTGATGTTAAATCTGCATTGATTTTTATAAAGTGCCTATTATATTGTTAGTAATATTTCAAGATGAACACTTACTAGACTGAAGCAACTTAATTTGATTATCATTATTTTAGAAAAATCATGTTAAAGTTTGAGTATCAAATATGCTCCATCTGGATTTTATTTGTTCGTTGCATTGCATGATCTTTGATCATAAGCATTTAAATATCATCTTACTAAGACATAATATAGGGAGATATATATATTTTGTCAGAAGGTCCAATAGACTACCATTTAAAAATATATAGATTTGTCTGAATATTATTTCACGTGTCAGGATTTACAGGGTAAAAAGTGACTAATTTCCTTCTAATTCTATATATTACAAAAAGACAACTTCAATTCTGTGTTTTTCAAATGATTCAGTTATAATCTCTAGATCATAAGGGCATACTATTTTCACCAAGTTTATGAGAGTTACATAACCATAATAAATGAGTCTGGCAGCCGTTTTCATAACTAGATGCCAATATAATAATTTAGCTGGTTAATGTTCTGGTGAAATACTTGCAAACATTTTGAGTTTAAGATTGGTAACAAAGCCTGTGCTAAACCATCTAAAAATATATGAATGCCTTTGGAAAATGCAAGGCTTTCTTCATGTTTATTTTTCATTGTGTTTTAACATAAACTCCCAACACAAATAGCTTTCGGAATTGAGTTGTGTTTTATATTACACGTTTACTATAAAATAACTCAAATATCTGAAGGGATGCAATAATAAAAATGAGTATATATTATTGTGAATCTGTTGTCCTGACCTGGATCAAACGTATCTCTCCACATGTAGGCCATGAGGGCAGCGCTCAGCAGAAAAAAGCTCACATACACCTTCATGTCCACTGGTGTCCTCGATCAGAAGTCTGGCGTCTGAATCCTGTGCGAGTGCATTGAGAAGTGGCACTTCAATGTGTTACACCTCCTGCAGATCCAGAACAGAGTCATAAACCGTGACTGATCACCCATTGAACCTGCCCGACAGTTCAGGAGGCTGAAGGTCATGTGTTGTTTACATTTACAAACACATGAAAGAAGAAAAAAACTGATGCAGAAAAAAAATAAAACTGCTCTATTGTTCTGTGTGACATCATTAAATTTGCTTTGTCTGAACTGTAAATGTTTAAACTCAGATTATTTTGAGTTAGTGCACTGTTAGTGGATTAAAATCAGGGTTATTATCGTTTACTGAAACTATACATTTCGTTAATTGAACAAAGCTTAAATAAAATAAAACAAATATTAGTTAATAAAAACTCAAAGCAAATTGTACTGTACCATGCACGGTTTGGTGGTGTAAATTATTTATTCTGAAGCAATATTTTCAGATTTTACTAATCTTCATATTTGTGATATTTACTTCATATATGTGTTATTTATTTTTATAAAGAGAACTTTTATTACCTTATTAAATGTATGCATCATCTTTCGTGTCAAATTCTTACATTTGATAATATTCAGCAAAACAGCTCCCTTAGTAAATGTTAAACTAAATCATGTTATAAATAAATAAACAACAATCTGAATGTTTACCTCAGTAACGTACATTTCTTCTGTGAGTTTTCTGTGTGCCGTTTCACTCATTTGTTTTGATTTCTCCACGAATGTCTCTCTAACAAAGAGCCTCAACACGACGTTGTTACCAAAATACATTAGCCTACCCATTATCAATCGCTGTTTACATTGAATGTAATAAAATCACAATCATTCTTGCGTTTCGATGCTTCTCGGGTTATTTTTTGTCACTAAAGTTAAGCTACTTGTCCGGTCGGGCAAGTAAAATTATCTATCTTGTCCCGGACAAGCGTTACTGTCGAGCCCTGAGTTCATTCATTCATGATTTTTTTTGTCGTGCTGTAAAGCGGAACAGGTGATCGGTTCACAGCATAGACAGTAAAGGTTCACAGCGATTTGTGTGTCACGCATCATTACAGCGCCAAAAGAGATCACAACAGCTCGAAAAAAGACGTCTATGGTCACACTCCAGTCTAATTAGTACATTCCCAATAATTATTGTGAAGTTTACCGTGCTTGCAACTAGGCTATCTATCCCTCAACCCCAAACCTTTCCTTAACCCTACCTCTTTAATACAATAAAAAATGTACTGTAGTTTCACAACAAACAGGATGACTTACGGCATCTGGTGATCTGACACGAGCTGTATGCCTTATCACCAGGTGGTGAAAGTGAAGATTAAAAATGCAAGGAAAGTGAAGTAGGGCCCTGTCCCCTAAGCCCTTGGCCCTTGTGATAGTCTTCCGTGACGTCATGGCGCTTCAAATATTGGGTAGAAGTCTGGTTTGGCAAAAGCCGGAAGTATTTTTTTTTAAATCATTTTCCCCATATAGGATTTTAAAATTGTCTTTGTTAAAGAGTTATAAGCCATAAATCAAGCCAATCAGCAACGAGGTGAATCACAACACTGCAAACTTTGATTCAAAGCAAAAAAGTTTTAAAAAACCGACAAAAAGACAAGACCGTGTACTCAACGGCTTTAGTGAGGTTAAGAACTACAATCCCATGAAGCATTGCGAATGCGAACAGCATAATCAAATGACTCATTTACAAATATTGATATGTATAAAAACAATATGTATTGTGTATATGAAAAACGTGCATATAAACAAAAATGTCTGCATTTTGACAGTGTAGACTAGACCCGATTACATCATTAGCAGTGCTTCATGGGAGTGGGCGGAGCTAAAGAGCTATTTTGGTTGCTTTGTTCGACTCTGATTGGTGGATTTTCTGTACAGCATCATGGGTAATGTAGTTTTTCACCAGGAATTCCTCTGTTAAACTATTATTTTAAAAACGAAGCTGAAATAATGCGGGCTGGCGGCTTCAACAGAAGCAAATACCATCCATTAACAACCTCGTATATTGCAGTATTTCTGTCTTTAAAGGTTTATAAATTATCATTCAAAATCAATTTCTCTATGGAAGAAATGAATGGAGCTTTTACTTCCAGAACCCGACATTTGGACTCTATGGTGGGGAAAGAGTTCGTACAAGTAAAAAGTCAATAAACAGCAAAACACCAACAAAAATTTTCAGTGCAAAAAATATCTCTTTTATTATTTACGATAACATCAAACAAACAGACAGGATGAATAGTTTGACACTCGTCGTCAATGTCACCTACTGAAACGTAACTTTGGTAAAAAAAAGCAGCAAAAGATTAAACCGATTAAATAGAAGAACCAGAGGAACCGGCAGAAGCTCGCGGACCACACAATAAAACACATTTACAAAGAAGCCAGAAAGAGAATCACTCCTTCAGTTAGGAGAAAGAAAAACTGCAGAAGCCGCTTGAGGCTCGTGAAACCTTGAACATTTCCAACGGCTTGAAGTCGTCAAGATTTATCTACACAGGGAAAGCAGAAATATAGTACAAGTGTGTTTAAAGCACAACGGAGAATATACAGAAAATATTCCACCTGATGTCATGGCAAACAGACCGGAAACTCAATCCATATCCACAGCTGAAAGATCAACAAGTCATTTAGAGAAATGTGCATTTCACTGAACAATACTTTCCCGTAATCCCAAATCGGGCTGCCCAAAAGATTTACTGGCGTCAGGACAAACGAACAATTTATCTTCTCCAAAAAAATAAATTAAACATGCTGTGTGTTTGATAATGTTGATAATGACATACTGAATATCTAACAAGAAGAAAACTACACAAACAACTGATGAATCTGAGCGAAGCGCTAATGTACTGAAAAAATTCAAAAACCGTCGGTCTGTCCGAGAGATGATGATAACCACATGCAAACCACGGCAGGAAAATGAGTTTAGATCAGCAAACACACCCAATCAGAGAGCAGCGCTGAACATCCAACATTTACATATGAAATATCCTCATTTGTTTACATTACATTTACATAACCAAATTAATTTATGTACAGGTCTTTTGGAAGAAGTGGTTAAATTGGGTGTGATCGAATTAAATTAATTTGCAAAAGTGTTCGATTCAATCGTAAAAATGATAGAATTTGCATAAAAATTAAGTTGATTCTTGGCAAACTATGGTCATATTAAAAACCAACAAATGCAATTTCAATTTCAAGAAATTTTGTTTTGATTCTTTCAAGCATATTTCATTTTGGTGATGCCAATCAGTAAGACACTCCATGTATAATTTACTCGTTTTGTAATCTTTGACTTCCTGCATTGGAGAAATGCTTGACAGTGTAAGAATAAAGTGCAAAAAAAAAAAAAAAAAAAGGCCAAATCAGCTACATGAACTTGCTCAAGTGCAGTATTTACAACAAAACGTGACGCAATGCCAAAAGCAAGAATAGCACAAAAAAAATAGCCACAAAAGACAATTAAAGTTTTGCTGTTTTATCACTTTAAAAGTGCTGTGATGATAAAGCTCGTCGTGCACAAGGGGAAACCTCTCCCCAAGTCAAGTAAAAGAACAAAACTGTCTTTTTCCATGAAGCTTTGCTCAGATCAGCTGGGACAATAACGCAAGGTGAATTTGAGCTTCTCCTGCCTTTAATTCACAGTGGAGAAGATGTTTGTAGAGGTCTAACAGCTCTATCCAGCCTGCTGGATTTGATCCGTGTTTTACTAAACCAAGGCCTATTAAACGTCAAATCAGACTGGGCTACGCAACAAAATCTTGTTTTTGCAATAACTGATTGTTAATCAATTAAAGACGTATTCAAACTGCTATGCATTGTCATATCTAATCGCATTGGTCATCTTCCTACAATCAAAAAAGGAGACTGGTTTCATTTTTGCTATGCTTGACATTCAAAATCGCAGCTGTAGTACGTGGCTTGGTGTTAGAAACAAGTGCTCTACAGTAAACAACAAAAAAAACAAATGTGTTCACACAGGACAAAACGGGCAACCCTATTCGTAGAGCATTTTACAGTATGATGCTGCAATACAGGACCTCATGTCACTTTAGTCATCTGAGGTTAAATCACTATAGAAAACCATTTCAAAAACATGCCAATAGTACTTCCTCTGTTCAAAACCAGATATAGTCCTAGTTTAATGCCTTTACTGACTGGGTTTTCGCTTTTAAAATCAAAAACCATCTTTTAAAGGTGGCCGAAAGCAGAAACGCATCCGTCTCGTTGCACATCTGATCTGATTTGGGGGAAATCGCAACTAAAAGAGCGACACAATGCATTACAAAATGCCAACTCAAAGGTTTCAACTGCATTTCTGGGAGCAAACGTTTGTTACGAAGCATATTAGTTCTATAAATAGATCAGTTCGACAGTTTCATTTGTAATCAAATGTCTCTCTGAGGTTAGTCTTTTTTTTCTTTCTTTTACCAGAACTATTTACAATTCAAAACCAAGAAACTCCTTCGCAGTCTCGCGAGACCGAACATTCATACACAAATCTCGAAAAACGAGACTGACCTTTTCCAGGGCTTACGGCTGAATCGAAGATATTCCATGGGATTATAAACACCAAATGATGCCCAACTCGCACGTATAAATACACTGTTTTGATATGACAATTGTGGACAATGGCATCAACTCAAAATAACAAACCCTGTACACGTACGCTTCATACAGTCCCTCCTCGCATGGCAGACTGTACACTGAGAGGCGATGATACTTAAGCTACGAAGAGGTTTGTTTCGGGTTTCTTTGTTTTGTCTGTTTCTTTTAGGTGGTCTTGACCAGGTCGTACACGTGGATGTGGAAATCGTCGTCGTATTTGATGTAGTAGACAGACGGCTTGGCAGGAACTTGATAGATGACGAGGCCTGTTCTCTTTACTCCTTTATCCGTCACATACTCCACCTGCTTACCCACAAGGCTCTCTGTTTCCTCGCCGGGCTTCCTGTCTGCGGGCAGCAGGTGTTTATTCTCTGCGGAAACAAAGAAATGGAAACAGTGAACTGACACTTCACTTTACTGCACAATGAGATGGAATGAATGATTGAATTCAACCTACCTTCAAAAAAAAATGAAGCATGTTATTAATTTAAATATTAGTAGTTTCTATAATTATATACAGAACAATAATATAAAATTCAAACGTTTGTAAAAAGAAAGTCTCTTATGCTCACCATAACTGCCTTTATTTGATCAAAAATACAGTGAGAACTACAGTAATATTATAACAATTTTTCATTCCTGTGATCAAAGCTGCATTTTCAGCATCATTACTCCAGTCTTCAGTGACACATGATCCTTCAGAAATCACTCTAATATGCTGATTTGGTGCTCAAGAAACATTTCCTATCATTTTTTCAGGATTCTCTGGTGAATATAAAGTTCAAAAGAACCGCATTTATTATCATCAAGGTAGAGATAGTGAGGTAGCTGATAATGTAGAAACTGACAGACCGTAGAGAAGTCGAGCCCAATAGATAAAGATAGAAGATCTCTCAGTTCCTGTGTACACCTGGTGTTAAGATGCGTTTTGGTCGATCGGATCACAAGTGGACGACACTAAATACAGGTGTAAACGGGGTCTAAAATGTTTTGAGCTTGTCCACTTTCGACCATTTAGAGGTAGTGGAAAATGCATTTGATCGGATTGCTTTTGTAGTGCAGACGCTCATGTGATCGAATGTGTTCAAACAGCCGCAAAAGCCCGTCTACTGGCCTAATGTGTAACATTATGGGAAGTGCTCTAGCCAGACGGGGTTTAAACTGTCGGCTGGAGACCCAAGATTAGTTTGAAGATGAAAAACATACCAAGCACAATGTTCTCTCATCATTCCTGATTCCTAACACACACTCACAGCGTTCGGCTGGTCTTGAGGCTGTCAGAGCAGAAACTAAAGCTGATGCTCTCCGTGTGTTTTTCTGTTGTCTTCGATCGTGTTCATATATAAATTGCGCAAGATCATTTCGTCCATTAGATCGAAAGATCTAAAAAAATAAAAAAAACATACATTTATCCGCCCATAGACCCTCCACTCGAAGAAATCAGGACAGAAGTGCTTGAAAGTGGACAAAAGAGACTAAAGGATTAAAACACCAGTTGTGAACGGGAATGTCTCTCCCTCGTCTACTTGTGATCTGGTCGACTGAAACACATCTATATACCAGCAGTAAACAGGGCTAAGAGATGCTTCGTAAGAAGTCTAAGTCACACAGAACCAAAAAACAATCTTGGTTCTGAAGCATTGCACAGCCATTTAAACTTGTCTGCTAATTGCATAAATTTGAATGTAACAATTTCTAGTATTCAGTGCTGTCAAACGATTAAAATATTTAATCGCGATTAATCACATTAATGTCATAGTAAACTCGCGATTAATCACACATTTTTATCTACTCTAAATGTCTCTTGATTTCTTTTCGTCCCATTCTTTTTTCTCATTTCAATGCTCTTATCAACATGGAAAAGTGGATCGGCTTGGTTTGTGCAAATGTTTTTTATTGAAAACAACATTGGCATATACTGTGTTCAATTTCACACTAACATTCTCACTTGGAGCAAATAATCTCAATGTAACACTGTCCATCAATAAAAGGGTGAAAGAAATACTGACGAGGTCCTGATATTGACGAGGGGGCGGAGAATTCGCATCAGCTGTGTGTGTGTGTGTGCTTGGCCATCATCAAGTGGTATTTCAGACTGGACGTGCTGCGATGATGATAGCTCGGTTCACAACGACAAAACACACAGATCACTTTGGTCTTGTCAATGGAACCATTTGGCATCTTTTTAAAAGTAAACTTTCAATTCAGAATCTTATTGGCGTCCATTTCGGCGTCTCGCACTCGTCATCCACTCACAACGTAACGTTAACCAACTATTTGGCCGGCTCGCAAGCCCAAACAAGTGTGTGCGCCGTGCCTGTTGTTTTGTTTCCGGTCTAGCTAGATCCGCTTCCGCTTTGGTCGAGGAAGCAACAAAACATCCTCGCGCGGCGCAAGCCATTGAAATGAATGGGTTTCATCCTGTTGCAAAAGCATGTGAAAAAACTACAAAGTTTGCTAGGCTAAAAAGACCGTTAATCTCACGATAAAAAAAAATTAACGCCGTTAAAATGGGTTTGCGTTAACGCCGTTAATAACCCGTTTAACTGACAGACCTACTAGTATTATAATATAAAGTTTGAAATTCATCAAGCAAAAGGTGAGTAATATCAGATTCAATAACCTTCAAACGGAATCAACTTCAGTACGGTATTAACAACATCAGCTTATTTACCCGCTTCAGGTAAAATCCGGAGGTCTCCGTCTTTGTAGTCGTCCCAGAGCTGGTACATGTAGAGCACAGGGTCTTTCTCGTATGTGATGTAGTACCAGTTGGTCATGATGGGCGCTCGGGACAGGACCATCCCCCTCCACTCGTTCTTCTCACCGTCCTCCTTCTCAAACAGATGCTCCACGGCTTTTCCCACCAGCTCCTCCGCGTCATGAGGAACCTTGATCTTGTTGTTCACTATGAAGGGTTAGGAAACACAGAGGTTGTGTGTTACAGTGATTTTTACCCTGGTTAAGAGCTCTTGTGGCATATCGCTTTTTGTGGCATAAAAGCTCTGAAATCTGACTGAGATTAAATGAACCATGTTCAATCACACTGAAATATGCAACGCATGTAATTGGTTGAATTAATGCAACTATAAACAGCAATATGATCAAAGTTACCAACACAGTTCAAATGTCTGGGGTCAATAAAATATTTGTATTAATTTCTCAAGAAAATGTTTTACATAGTATAAACAGGAGGGAAATAAAGTGAAATTTATTCTTGTGATGGCAAAGCTAAATTTTCAGCAGCAAAAGAACAGCATTTATTTATTAAGTGAAATAGAAATCTTGTATAACAGATAAATGTGTTTACTACTAAAAGTATTAAACTCTTCTAAAAAAACTTAGTCTAATTAACTATTTTGCATAGTGAAAGAATAGTTGTTAGATATTATTTAATGAATGTACACTACTAAGATATAGTAAGCATTTAAGTTTTATATAAACTAAAGCTGTGCATAAAAAACAGGCATCAAAATTCTTGTCACAATATTTCATATTCATCCTTTTCTAGAGGAAGCCCTCATTTACTCTCCAGGCTATGCAACATATCATGCTGTTTTCATATATTCTCAATTGTGACAGCCTAAATATATGCATACTAACAGTGCTATTTGAGTATCACCATGATGCGATTATAGTTTTTATTAATAAAAACTGAATGAATCAATGAAAATTGTTTTAGTCTCAGTTAACTAAAACAACCCTGATACGATAATCAGTCTCCATTATTTCAACTGCAAACATCATCAAAAACAAATGTCTTCCAATTCAGTCTTTTTTATTTTGTGCTTTAGTAGTCAGCTCATTTATTGTCCATTTTGTCTATTTTAACTTTATTATGATTACTGGGGTAGGGATGTAACGGTATGAAAATTTCATATCACGATTATAGTGACCAAAACTATCACGATTATCAATATTATCACGGTTTTGTTAAAATGAGATGAAAATGTTCAAAAAGGAACGGATCCGCACACTGAAAAAATTTCAACAAGTTTTATATTTGGAAATCAACAAACAACATAAAATTAGCAGCTCTATGCACTTTTATTTAAGCATACACATTAAATTATACGACCGTAGTCAATAGCAACGCATTATAACATCTCTTCTATCACCGCGGAGGCGCTCTCTCGTTTCATTAAAATGCTATTATAAATGAGGTTAGTAGAAAATGTTAGCAGCAAATGTTATTATAGTGAAAAAAATTTTTTTAGTTTGAAACAAATAAAAGGTAAATTGTTCCATTGATGAAAAACAAATAAATGTATTTATACTATAAAATGAAAATACATTTATTTTAAATAGCACAGCTTTTTCATGAGGCAACAACATTTGATAGATAGGACAGAACAAGAAAGACCATCTTTGGGCAAAAGTATTACAGGGCTAATATGAAAGGCTTAGTGTATCATATCTATGCAACATACTTCATAGTGCTCTCTACTCCAGTGTGATCTGACACCCGGGAGAAAGACTCATGATTTAGAAACAAAAAAACTCCAGCGAGATAAATTACTTTTATGAAAAACCATTGACCTTTTTCTACAAATAAAGTATAATAATGGGAACATTGAGAGCGAGTTTCCTCGTGTTACTGTTGTAACTGAACGCGACGGAGAATGACTGAGGAGAGATGAGTTTCCATTAAAACTTTTACGACTTAAAGGGATACTCCACCCAAAAATGAAAATTCTGTCATCATTTACTCGCCCTCAAGTTGTTGCAAACCTGTATGAGTTTCTTTCTTCTGCTGAACACAAAGGAAGATATTTTGACGATTGGAACCAAACAGTTGTTTGGCACCATTGACTTCCATAGTAGAAAAAAATATATACTATGGAAGTCAATAGTGCCAAAGTTCCAATCGTTTTTCAAAATATCTTCCTTTGTGTTCAGCAGAAGAAAGAAACTCATACAGGTTTACAACAACTTGAGGGTGAGTAAATAATGACATTATTTTCACATTTTTGGGTGGAGTATCCCTTTAAATATTCATTTGTACCTCACATTAAGCTATCGAATGGCTTCAGAAGTCTTGGAATATAGTGCACGAAAACTTTATCATGCTTTACAATATTTTTATTTCTTTAGTGGGGCTTAACAATAACAGAGAATAGTACGTGCAATATCGGACGTCATGGAGAATCGGGATGAATCGAGCGCTGTCACTGCTTTCCGCCATGTCTTCTCGTTCAAAAAAACAACAATGCATGCTGTGGCTGAGCCAGACTGATGCTGCCTGGACAGGATTTACAAAAGGTTTTCAAAATCGCGATAATCGAACACGGTTTTCATGATAATTACATTTTGAAACAATAATACTAACCGTCAGGACATTTTATCGTGAAACAGGTAATCGTTCCATCCCTAGGGAACAGATGTGCACATCATTGCATACAGAAAAAAAAACACAGGGCTGCACAATATATCCTTTTATCATCGATATTGCAATAAAGATAGTCACATTGCAGGACGTGCGAAGTCAAATATAGGAATCGTAGTTGATCCGTATGGACCAGGCACCACGGTTCAAACGCACGTGATTCTCAGATTAATTGCAGTTTAACCATCATAGAGCAAAATTTTACTGTTTGCTGGTGTTTTAGGTCCTGTCAGTTTAACCATTCTAGCGATTTTAAACCATCTGAGCGGAAGACGCGAAAGAGAACTGGGAAAACCGATCTTTTTGTGCATTAAAAGGACACATACAGGGTAATTCCAGCGTTATGGATGTAACATTTGAACTCATAATGACAGGTGAAATGTCTCAGAAAAAAAAACTTCTTACAATATTTAAATTGGAAATGCATATTCTCAGAGCACCCAATCTGGGGAATGGACAGGCAAAATATGTTTTTCTAAAATATATTTAAGCACCCCCAAAAATGGAAATGACAGAGTTTTTGGTATACTGTTCGATTTCCTTTAAAGTCTGTGAACTTTTAAATCCAATGTATAAATATTGCTATCCACATGATGAAGGGGTCTTAGCTGAACATAAAAATATCAATGTTTAAAATATATATATTTTTATGAAGTGTATTATGAGGAAAAACCAACATGGATGTGACAAAAACCCTGTTATGGATGTGACGCGTCTGAAATACATAGAATCTGTTTGGAAAATCAACAATCAAACCATCATGGCACTTTTGTTGACGCATAATGGCTGTGTTTTCACATTAAGAAGACTGTCTGAAATGATTCTGTTCAGTTATGAGACGCACTCAAGTTTACGTGTTGCAAGTGATCGCACCTCCATGCTATATTTGCTTATTTATTAAATCCAGGTAATTGGTTGATGAAACTTTGATTTAAAATTAAGATACAATTTATACAAAACAAAAAAATTCACTTTAAATAAAGTCTTTCTACAAAACAAAACTTGAAATGAAGTGGCCAAAATCATTTCTGTCTTGAAACAGATCACAATCGTCATATGCATGGTCACGTCCGTAACGCATTATTATGGTTGTTCATAGGGATGCACGATATAGGATTTTGGCCGATATTCGATATGCCGATATTTTCAAACTAATTTTGCCCGATGCCGATACCGATATATTTGTGTTTTTTTTAAGTGCAAAAAAAGCTTATTAAAGCTTCTATTAATGTTCTCAGTCAAGAGCAGTGAGTGATTTCCTCTGTTTTGTTGTTTTATTAACATTAACGGGATAGTTCTCCCAAAAATTTAAATTGTCATCATTTACTCTCTCAAGTTTCTTTCTTCTGTTGAAATTATAAAAGTTATTTGGAAGAATGTGGCTAACCAAACAGTTGCTGTACTCCAGTGACTTCCATAGTATATTTAAGCACAAGTAAGAAATGAATCCAGGTTTGAAACAACATTAGATAGACAGAATTTTTATTTCTGGGTGCAGTATCTCTTTAAAGACAAGCGGCAGAATATTATTACTGTCTCTTTAAGAACTGCACGCGAGTAACGCGACGCGTCTAATATACACGCATTTGACAAGCAGATTTTCTCTGTTTGCTTTCACTTTAGACATAACCAACTTTGTTTATGTAAACCTTGTGTGTATTTGACAGTATCAGCGCAATAAGACTCGAAAGATTAGTCCAGTATGCAGGCGCTGTGACAGGCTTTAGTTCCTGTGAGCGTCGGGTGTAACGCGCTCAGAAAAGCGGATGTTAGAACAGCGCATCAGCACGTGAATGACATGTTTAACTAGCAAGACTTTGACGCACATGCAAACAATGAACCTTTGTGAATTGCGGTGTCCCGTGAGTGTAACTCTACCTCTGCGTTTACATGTGATGTGATGTGATGTGATGTGAATGTACGTCGCGTTGTACAGTATGTTGAGATGAAGGCGCCAGAATTGAACTGATAGAATGCACGATACTATGATTTTTCTTCAAAAGCAGATAGTGGAGACATTTTAATCGCCCACGATCAAAAACCGTGAGACGCACACCCCTAGTTGGAAGTTTAAGTTGCTGGCGCTCATGCTTCGTTCACGGTCGTCACGTGCGCATAGGAAACACGCCACCCTATCGGCAAGACTCATCGGCAGAAATATTCATATCGGCCGATGCCGATGATGGTCATTTTAAGCTTTTATCGGCCGATACCGATGTTGTCCCGATATCATCGTGCATCCCTAGTTGTTCAGAGCAAAGTAGTGAGATGAATTGTCTATCCTAATAAGCATAAACATAATTTAGCTTTGTAAATAAAGTTTCAAGTTATTTGCATTTATAATTGTCATATTAAATAAATTAAACCTTTAAAACGTTATGGACGTGACACTGCACTGAAGCGTCAAGACTAGGGCTGCAACGATTAGTCGACGTTGTCGACAACGTCGACAATAAAAATTTGTCGACAAATATCTTTGTTGTCGAGTAGTCGTTTGATCTCACGTGACCTAATGTAAGGGCCTGCAATCCCGCGATTTGACCGCTACGGCGCTGTAGCGCTAGAGTGTAGTGCAGCCCTTACAAATGCTATTGCGGTAGAAGAAAATACAGCGCGAATTATGACAGTGCAAACGAATCCGAACTAGCAAGGTTTAGGTTTGGGAAAGTTTCACAAAACTTCAAATCAAGAATGCTGTCGTGTGCAATTTTCACGGGAGCACAACATGCATGTTGGAGTGCAAGAGGAAACATCCCGGCAAAAGAGGAGCCGGTGAGAAGTGAGTGTTCTCCAGCTGGAGCTTACTAACCAGCGGTAAATCTCTCTTTATTAGAGAATGCAATACTACTAATAATAGTAATAATATTATCAATAGTAATATAATTACAGTAATGTGATGACTTATTTTGTATAGAATAAAGCTTGATCCAGCTTAGGAGTCAGGGCTGTTTTTATTATTGTAACACTATTAGTATATTAGGTATTATTATAGTCTTATCACTTGCCTGTATTTTGTTCAATAATCATGAAGACTTACAAAACGAGATGTTATAGGCCTATCCTTCCTATGATATAGGAAGAATATCATGGCAGTTACTTTTTCATACTATAAATTAAAAGGTGAATGAGAACGTCTCTGTCAGCTCAATTGTCATGTAAAAAAAGATTGTAATTTTATAATTATAATAATTGTTTGCAGATTAATATTTTACCATTCTTTGTGTCCTGAAGTAAATGTCCCTTTTTCTGTTTCAGTTCTAAGAAAAGCAGTGGGCCTATTAAACAATGCTTAGAGAGCATTTGTGTGTGATTTGAGTTGGACCGAAATCTGAAAACTTAAAGAGAATGACCTGTTTAGTTGGCTCAAAGTTCATTAAAACAACTATTTCAAAAGCTGAAGTGATTTTCTTTTTTTATATTATAGTTAGAATATGTATAACTCAATGTTTTAAATAATTGGAAAAGCTGAATAATCGTTCCAAACTTACTGATTAGTCTGCGAAAATAATCGATGATTAGTCGATTAATCGTTCCAATAATCGTTAGATTAATCGATTATCAAAATAATCGTTTGTTGCAGCCCTAGTCAAGACCTCTTTATTATAGCCCTTATAAATTCAACAGGCAGTGCTGTTATGACCAAATTAGTATATTTATTTCTCAGGCATGCCTCCATCTTTCTGCAAAATGCTTACTGTTAAAATAAAGTTTAAAAAGGGGGGTCTTTGATACCTTTTTTTGAAAGCATGAAATATGGCTGGTTGAAAATGTAATTTAAAGGGGTCATATAATGGTACATGCACTTTTACAAGTTGATTGTACTGAAATGTGTGTTGGCAGTGCCTGTACACAACCATCATATAATGATAAAAATCCATCCAGTGTTTTTGTTTTAATCTCCTTATATGTTTTCCCCTGCCTCAAATCGAGCCGTTCGAGCCTGTGACGTCACAGACTCGCACGCCCCTCCCACGATTGTTGAATGACAGCAACGTTTCAACACAGACCTGCCCTCGCTCGTGAGGGAGCTGTCAATCATAGTCTGCGCGGACCGGCGCGGTCATTGTTGATATGCTGGAGCACTGTCTATGAGCAGAATGGCGTCTAAGCGATTGTGGTGTTCTGATCTTGGGTGTAATAACAAACACAGTCATTTTAATGTTTAATGAATATTCCCCACAAGCAACGTCAATGCTTTCATGTTTGCGCGAATCATTTCTCACCAGACTACTTTATAAACGAGGATCAGTATAAAGGTGGTTTTGCTAAGAAGCTACAGCTGCTCCTGAAAGGATCGGTACCATCTATTTGTGTTCCTGCAGGTGCTCCAGAAGAACTGAAGTGAGTGTAACGTTTTATTAAACTTTATATTAATATTTATATTAATCCTTGTAAATCGCTTGCACGCTTCACAATGAATGCGTCTAAGGTTTACACTCACGGTACATTACGGCATGTTTTCTATGTATGACAATATAATGCATAATCCCACGTTTATACTGAACAACGTGTTATGGTTATTGTGTTACAAACGGTGTACGCCAGAGCCGGCTCTGGTGTACACATAGAACAGAGAGGCGGAGTCAGCGAAGCTCATGATCATTTAAAGTCATATACACTGAAACGGCGTGCTGAAAACAGAGCTGTTTTTTACCAGGTAAAATAAGTGTTTTCTTACAATACTAATGAGAATTTTTAATTAAAGTATATTACAAACTTTTAATTTAGACCCTAAAGAATCATATTAGCTTGTACAAAAATGGCATTATATGACCCTTTTAAGCATTGTTGATTAATTATTTCCAAATAGAGCTATTCAAGTCATCTGTTGAAATTATTTTCATATCGCAGACTTTTTTTGTGTGTGTATATCCTTATCTGGATACACAGTTACTCATACCTTGACATTATGGTCATACATACTCACAGAATGTTTTAGTTACCGTTCACGCACTATAAATACTGCTCATCCTTGCACATGTGCTACTTCCTGTCACTGGCTTGTTTCCTGTTTGCAGCACAAAAGATCCACCTACTCACCCACTTTCTCAGTGAGAACTTGCAGGTTGGAGACCCTCTCATCTTTAAAGAGCTCGATGCCATAGACGCAATCGAAGCCGTCGTACTTGACCATGAACAGGGAGGAGTTGACGCTGAGGCGGTCCAGCACGGTGCCCTTCCACTTGGTCAGCGCGCCCTTCTCCCTCCAGCTGTGTTGGATGCGTCGGCCCAGCAGGTTGTTTGGATCTGGAGTGAGACTGTCGCTCAGCTCGCCACTGCTGCGCTTCCTGACGAGAGGAGAAAAACAGGAGCGTAATGGGTTGCTGAAAGTCTGGCTGAACTTACTAATCAAGGATCGTTTTACCGCTCAAACGCTGATTATGATTTGATCGATTTTATATTGCACAGCATCCTCTTTTAGATGATATCAAATGCATTTGGCTCACGTAACAGATACACATACTGTACGTTAATCTAAAGTGGTTTTAAAATGAGTATAAGCAGTCTAAAAATTAGGCATGGTATAAAACTGTTGGTAACACTGCAATAAGGTTTCATTAGTTAACATGAATTAAGAATGAACGGCATCTAAATTAATTTTATTTACTAATACATTATTAAAATCATAAGTTGTATTTGTTAACATCAGTTCATGCACTGTGAACTAACATGGACAGAGATTGAACGACTATTTTTATTAACTAACATTAACAAAGATTAATAAATACTGTAACAAATGTATTACACATTGTTAGGTCATGTTAGTTACTGCATTAACTAATGAAACCTTATTGTAAAGTGTTACCAAAAATTTATAAAGAATTGAATAAAGTTTTTGCATGATTTAGAGTACACTACACACTAATTTCATATTTTGAAAGAAATGATTCATCAAGGATGCATTAAATTGATCAAAAGTGACAGTAAAGACACTTATAATGCTATAATGTAGCCTTGGTGAGCAGAAGAGACTTCTTTTAAAAAACATTTGAAAAATATTACCGAATCCAAACAGTAGTGTACAAAAACATTTTTAGCCTTCATAATCTTTCATCAATATGTAATAGCTTGCCAAGCCCTCCTATTTTTCAACCACCTTGATCTATTCTGACCTGTAACAGCCACTTTTCACAATCCAACTAATTCCAAAACAACTCCTGCCCTGTATTTTTCTTTAATATCCGATTTCATTCAGAAATACATCAGATTACCAAAATAAAATGGGTTCACGTGGACTCTACAGGCGCCTAATTGAAATCAGTAGTAAAAAGATGACTGTGTTGTCGCCTCTCGTCGGCTGAACACACCGAAAGGAATAAAGGTGACTGCCAACTAACATGTGTGTTCTGCGGGTGTGTGTAAGTAAATATCAGCAAGTATCAATAGTTAATACACATCATTCAAAAGGAGAAACAAAAACTGGGACTCCAGATATACAAACCGTAAACAAAGCAGCGCTTGCTTACCATGTTGAATATCAATCATGCTGATCACTTTCAGTCGGCTCATGTTACCGGTGTATTATGAAAATATTTGCGGATTGGGATGCTCAAGTAAGATCATGCAAAATTAGAATTGACTTCTGTTGCGCCGTATTGACTTCTAGGCTTTTCATCACTTTCACTGACTCGTTCGCTAAGGGCAAGCTCACACTACGGGACTGTAAGACTACATGAATCACTGTGGTGCTCACACTACACATCAAGGTTTCTTTTCATCTGTCGTCGTCTTGTCATGGCAGCTCACATATACGACAACACAATGCTGACAAGGTGCACAAACTACAAGAAATTTGGTCAAGAGACTGTTTTTGCTCGTAAGTGATTACGAGATTTTTCCATTTATACCACCTGCACTTTGATTGGCTGGATTAGTTCCACCTTGTAATTGCATTTGACACACTACAAGATTATGTGGGGATAATATCAAAAAAGGTTTGAAAATATCGTCGTATCTGACTGTGACTGCTCGAGATTGGCTCAGATCACTTCGCTGACCTGCTCGTTTTGGCCGTTTTTTGTCGCAGACTTTGGAAATCTATCTGTGATAGCAAAATCCAGTTAAAAGTCATGTAGTGTGAGCTTGCCTTAAAGTCCCACTCCGATCATATTTTTTAGCTATTTTTAAACATTCCCAGTGGTCTTTAAATTATGATTATGCCATTTTTAGCCAAAATCACAAAACCTGTGCCGTTTTCTGGGACTTCGCTTCAGCAGAGCGGCAGTAGCTCATTAGAAATTCGCCTCTGCGTTGTGGGCGGAGCCGTTGGCACGGAGGCACGGGGACGACCCTCCCCCTCCCCATTGCTGAGAGCTCTGTCTCTCTCGCTAGCTTACATCCCCAACCTGTCAATACCGGTGCAACAAAAATGGAGAACAATATTGGAGCTATCCAGCCGTACAGTTTTGAGCCAGATGCCAGCTCGGACGAGGAACGTACATAGATCTAGTCGTCTACAAGTGGATGTATCAGAATGGTAACGTTATTGTTTTTGTAATCTCTTGAATTGACTATTTCAGGCCAATAACTCCTAATAACATGTTAGTAAATAAATATGTTTGTGGACATGCTCCAAACATTTAGTCAGATTAACCTTTTTGAAGTTTTCATAGCTATCACACAAAGAATAAATCATAGTGCTGCAGAATCAAGTTTACTTATAGAGCACAGTATGAGCTTGTGGCCCCGCCCAGTGGAGTTACTACGTCACAACTCCAGTCTATTTCAAACGGCATTTTTGCGTCTGCTACTGATTCACAGCCATTTGAATGTAGAAATACTCAGAAATACAACTTTGAGCCTATTTTTCTAAAGATATGTCCTCTAACATAAGAAAAATGCCACAAGAACATGTTAACACCTAGAAAAACATTATTTTCATCGGAGTGGGTCTTTAAGCTGAACAGCCAATTAGAGTCATCTCTCTCTCTCAATGATGAAGCCAATGCCAACGGATGCTGATTCAACAAGCTCAATCGGCCAAAAAGCCAACGCAAAAACTGGGCCGACTAGTGGTGCACGATATATCGGCCGCCGATATAACATCGGCCGATATGGTAAATTTTTTACACATCGGTATCGTTCCGATGGCAAAATAGGGCCGATGTGAACAGGCCGATATCATTCCTGTGTATTTGACGTGTGTGTAGATGTGAGTGTGGGGGCGGGGATGTTTGTTTTTGCACGAGCGCATACATTACGAGCGCAAGTCCTGTCAGTTTAAACATCGAGCGCAAGAAGACTGGAACTTGCGCGCTGTTTTCTGTCAGCCTTACTAAGGCGTATTTTTGTCCCGCCAAAGGCTTATTTGACCGGTGAGTGATGTAGATGACTGACTGCTGCGCTTGTTTAAAGGTGAACTAAGTAACTTTTTTTACCTTAAACGGCAGGCGTAATGATATGACGCAGCGCCTGAAAATAGGCTACCTTCCGTCAACACAACAGAACTATTTTCAGGCGCTGCGTCATATCATTACGCCTACTGCACTCATGGTACGGCAGTGAAGTTTCTTGATTATTACGCAGGAATGAGAGAATAGTTCCTAGCCATATCAGCCTAGAAAATCGCAACTTTACATTTTCCGTCGGTCTTAGTGCACGATGTAACTACAGAAGAGTCAAGTTTTAAATAGGAAAAATATGGAAACTCTTTGGTCATTTTTTTTTTTAGAAATGCTAATGGTCTTGTCCACTCCAATGATGTATGCTAAGCTATGCTAAAAGTGGTACCGCCAGAACCGGAGATCGGCTGAATGGATTCAAAAACGGTAAAACTCAACAGTTTAACTCTGGGGGAGTTGTAAAATGAGCCTATTTCCAAAAAAAGTGGAGTATCCCTTTAACCGAACAGCTTTGGAGTCATTGTAATGTTTATATTACTGATTTCGTGTTGAATGGTGGTCGTCTCGCACCCCCCTGGTGCTTGTGAGCCGCAAAACCACCCTTGCAACTTTGGGCCGGCGGGCCGTCGGCCTGTGTTAGGAAGTATCGTGTGATATCAGGTCTCGCGAGGTAACGAATTGCTTTACGGCAAAAAACAGATCTGATAAAATTGTGATAAAATGAGCATCAAACAGAAATAACCCGGCGCCGTATACATGTGATGTTCGAGGCGCACATACAATACAGACTTCCGACAGTTAAACAGTGCGCGCGCAGCTCTTAAAGGGGCCACACCTTATTTCCACTCGTTACAGCGTCCATCCTACTGAACAGGTACCGGTGTACAGGGGGAGGGGATCCAGCCGTGAGTGCGAGCCATCTCTGCGTGAGTGCTATTCACGACAGTACAAGTACTCCACAGCGACTCTAGGGGTCGCTGTTTGACAAAAACGGAATTCCTACTTAGTGCTGCTTTAACAGAGAGCGAGCAGAGAGAGTGAAAGCCCCGGTTTATCCACTCTCACCGTCTTCAAACTGTCTTGCTCTCTTTCCCTCCCTCGCGCATATTAATGAATTGAGTTGACTGAATATCTTTGAGAATACACGATGGTAAAAGGTCGGAAGACCGAAGGTTTTTTTTTCTGAACTACCACTGGTTGTGAATTGTGCTAAAATAACGTTGCCTTATCTTCTCTGAAAAGCTTTCCACACATTCAGATGACAAACCACACTTTCAATAAACAACAACAAAAAAATCTATCTAGTGATGAAATGTTTTCTGTGTTGAGACAAATCCTGTGCGATGTCCTAAACTGCCTGGATAATCACACAACGTGGTCCGTTAATGACACTCCGATTCGCGAACTAATGACTCCTTTGAACCGTTTCACTTTAATGAACGGTTAAAACAACTGATCTGTCCAACACTGAACTCAAGAGACATAAATCGGAAACACTTTACAATAAGGATCCATTTATTAAAGTCTAGTTAACTACATTAGTTAACATTCTACTAATATTAGTTTCTATGCGGATTTACTCCATGACAAAACCACCCCAGTCATTCTAGAATGATTCATTCTTTCCAAATAGAGATATTCAAGTCATCTGGTGAAATTGTTTTTATTTCGTAATATCATTTTTTACCAATATCGTGCAGCCCTAATCCTCGCCATGTGTTTTCTATACCGAGATATCGACATCGGCAAATATCGGTATCGGCCATAACAGCAATATTAATATCGGTTATCGGTATCGGCCACAATTTTCACATCGGTGCATTACTAGGGCCGACCCAATGGTCAGTAAAACCACCAACTGACTTTAGTTCAGCCGAGTGCATGAGTTCAGTCAAAGCTCAGTTTAATAATTCACTTCTACTGTAGCATGTCTGTCACTCAACAATTCTAACATTGAAAACACATTCCTGGAAATATCACAGCATAAACCGGCCTGACACCAAAATATTATTTCCAGCCTGGTCCTGTTGATAATCTGAGTGATGATGTGCACAATCATTAGTAGTCAATTTTGGACTATATGACATTAGAGATCGACCAATGTGGGCAGATTCTGAAACAAATTTCTGGAGAGCAACGTTTTATGTAACACAATTTAATTACAGCAAATGAGATGTATACTTGAACACTTATTAGTCAAAGGCTGGAAGTCAATGTGCCTTATCCACTGATAAGGCTACAAGTAGTTTGTGGAACTGATATGAGACTATAACTGACACATCTGTGAACTAGCCAACTGGTTATTGGAGATAATGTCAAAATGACCAAATATTGGCCGATTCATCGGTCTGGTTTGAGTGTCCCTAGAAACATCCCTAACTCAACACAATCAAATATATGTGCTAATGAATCAGAACTGATTCAACCAATTCACTGAAAAGAAATCAACTCAAGAGAATGACTCACCTACATATTGCACATCACTATGGCAGTAATGGTAAACCATGGCACTTCCATATTTATCATGCTAAAATTAATTTACAAGTTACATGAATTTTGGTATCCCTTCAATATTATAATATACCAAAGTACCATGGTATCATCATTCTGATGCCATTATTGTCCAATGTTAAAGCGTGTTTATATTATATTTACTCACCTGCCCCTTTTCTTGGACATGTTTCCAAAACCTCAAGCACGTCTAGAAGAGAAAAATGACAGAATTATAAGTAAACCAATTGGTTTGCTTGTCTTCAGGCAAGACACTACCAGTAAAACCAGCGTTTCTTCATCATCAAATTTGGGCTATTTCACTTTCAGACTACTGGAAAGAAAACATCCAAAATACACACTGAAGTACTTGTTTTATTATGCTTTTGTACACTTATTTGCGTCTAAAGATTTCAATTAAAATAGATATCTTTAAAGGCCGTTTCTCAAAATTAGTTTTCAGAAATCTCCACTTTTGCAGCACTTACATAAACCAAACGTTTAGTCTTATTTTATTCCTTTCTATATATATTCTGAGCATTTTTATTTTACACAGAGGTTTGTTTGTAAAACATTTGCCTGATTTATTTTATTTCTAAAGACAAGGTGTACATTTTTATTGAAGTGATAAAAAGAGATATTCAAAATCACTTCTGTAAAACAAAATGTAAAGGTTTCAAGGTTTAGATTTCTGTTCTGGAGATGTTTGTTAATAATCAGATAATACTTAATTTGCATATTTAAACATATCTTTTCAGAAATCATGTGATACAAAGCAATCGTCTTACTGGACTGTGATTAATCAACTGGGGAAGTGTGGTGATAGCTGTTAATTGAAATGTTTTCCCTATCTCTATACCCAAGGTTTTTTTTCCCTGCCTTTATTAGAATATCATATTGCTTTTAGGGATAAGAGCAATAATACACATGCCACAGCTGCAGATAATACTTTCATTTCAGCATATAGAAACTGATGGGAGTGTCAACATATGGTGGATGTCGACCACATGGTTTTGACAGCTCAATTCAGTGCTTAAGCTAAATCTGCAACATTGTTCACATTACAATACTTCAAGTCTACTTAATCAGGTGTGACCTGTGTATGTTACGTATGTAACGCCACGTTATCTTTTGTTATTTTATAGCGTTGCCATATTAATCTGGCCTCTGATTGGACAATGACTCAACAGCGCCCGTGTTGCATAATTACATCGAATCTGCGGCATATATTCAGCTGTTTATGGTTTAATATCGCGTTAAAGTTGATGTTAAATCCACGTAGAACATGAGACGTCCACAATATTGCGGCATAATAGAGGCCGGTTTATTTTTCATGCCTTAATGGTGCAAGCTGTGCTGTTTCTACACATATCGCCCAAAATATAACATATACATCATAACTAACATGTCAGACATCAGTAATGCAAGTAAACGAGTGTTTAGAATCTATATAAAGACACAAAATCGGGTCGTTTCGCTGCTTCACGTGGAAAACACCAACGCAGCTATAAAACGCTGGCGTTTCTGTCCTTTGCGCAACCGGTAAACTCCGCTTTACCTTCGTGTTTTGTCTTCACACATACTCTTATTTCCACGTGCTCATATGTCCCTGTATAAATTGTAAGAAAAGTAAGATTACCTGGCCTCTATTTTCATGTCTATGATAGACTTCCCTCTGCAGATCCTCATGTATAATGCTCGTCCAGACGTGAGGCAAGGCAACAACCTGGCACGGCCGGTTTAAACTACAATTCCCATAATGCATTGTCAGCGAGAGTAGAGCAAATAGCGGGCAGGGCATTCTGGGAGATGCAGTTGAGGGTGTGAAAGGGGCGGACACACATTCTTCCTGTGTCCGGCTGCAACTGTGTAAATGAGAAAATAAAATCCAGCTAAACAAAGAGTTATTAACGAAACGTCTGGATTAAAATCATGAGAGATAATAAAATCTCTCTGGATGTTATTTTTAATCTTATGAGCGGGGTAATGTTAACTACTTTTATAAGCACTCACGGAACTACAATTCCCAAGATGCACCAAGACTTTTCTTTGTCATTCCTTTGGTCAGGTTTGGAGGAAAAACAGGCCTTTGCTTTATTCAGAGTTTATTCACATTTTTGTGTTTCAAAATGTGTGCATATGTTGAAATAAACGTTAGGATGCTTAGATATTTATTTTTAAATAAAATATATAGGCCTACACCATGTTCAAAAAATGATTGAATTACACAGCATTTCATCAGCCTCTGCATTTCATATAATTATATCTATAGGATCCAACTTTCATATAAGCCTGTCTATTCCTTTTAAATTGGGTACGAAGTCATTAAAAATGATCTAAAAGATACAAAATGTATAATACCCTAAATGTTATGTAACAAATATTTTAAGTGTTTTAGTTGTCCTGATGACATTGGTCAAACAGTCACATCTCAATGGATTTATGATTTTATTTTTTAAACTGTTTAAAATAAGAAGTTAAAAATACTATGCAAGGTATAGTTTGAGGTTAAACCATTTATTTTTTATTTTTTGGTTTGTCATAATGGTTCAAACCTAATGGTTTTGGTATAATTCTACTCATTAAGCAAAAAAGGTGCACAATGCAGCTTTGCATATTTCAATTTGCATATACCTTGATGAAACTGAAAGTCGTATTGAAATGACACTTCTTGGACCCACACCATTGGTCAGTCCTGCAATGCTTTGGATCAGGGGTCACTGCAGTATTGAATATTCTCCACAAGAAGGCACTAGTGCTCCATCCTCAGATCAACAGGACAGTACCAACACATATAAACTTACCAAAAGCAGTAAAGATGTCGTCATTCACTGTTCAGATAAGTTTTTTAAATTATTATTAGAACACTCCCAAAAGGTTTAATGTGGCTGAATTGATTTCTGTGCGACTCAACACCAGTGATTAAAACAGATGTTTTTTGATCATGAAAATAATAATAGCACACTTACGTATGTTATTCCAAGTTTTTTACTTTCTCCCTCTGAAATGTCACATTTGTTTTTGTGTTTTACGTTAAAGCTGCATTCAAATTTTACATAAAAAAATTTACATCTAAAAAAGGGTTAGTTCGACCAAAAAATTCATTTCTGTCATTAATTATACTCACCCTCATGTCGTCCAAACCTGTAAGACTTTCGTTCATCTTCGGAACACAAATGAAGATCTTTTTGATGAAAACAGAGTTCTGTCAGGACCGCTATCGTCAAATAGCCTACGATTGACAATTAGCATATAGTTAGGATTGGCGGTGTAGGATTGAACCACCCCCTCTTTCCCCAATGACCAAAGGCACAGAGGGGCTGATAGTGATCAAGGCCTGTATAGGCCAAGATGTGTGTACTTCGGGTGTCTATAAATTGTCACACCTACCTTTAGTATATAATGGGGGAAGTTGTAATTATCTAATCGGTCAGTTTGAACGTCTCACATTTAGGTTAAAGTCACATGGTCAGGGAAAGGATAAAACAAGATTGTAACTGCTGCTCTGGCTCTTCTTATTCTCTGGGTCCCTTTCTTGGGGCTCTCTTCCTTTGCCTCCTCCTCCTCCTCCTCCTCCTCCTCCTCCTCCTCCTCCTCCTCCTCCTCCTCCTCCTCCTCCTCCTCCTCCAGGAGGAGCTGGGGATGGAGGAGGGTTATTAGCTCCTGAGAGACGTGATAGCTGCTGATAATACTGAAGGAGCCCTATACAGTGATAGGCGTCATATTCCTACAGGTAGATGTGGATCAGCTGAGAGTCAGCTGATACGAGTATGACTAACGTGACCTGCCAGAACTGACGCTACGCTTGATTTCTGTCCCTCCATTGACAGCTACGCAACTACCACTTTTACGCTTCAAACAGTTCATAAAGATATTGTAAAACGAATCCAATCCCTTTATATGCTGAACAGATTGAATTTAGGCTTTTATTTTAACACATTTAAACATTTATCAACTCACACATCAGCTGTGGTAAACAGAGTAAATAATGAATTTTCATTTTTGGGTGAACTAACCCTTTAACAGGGATCTAGACTTTTTATATCCACAAAGAGAGAAAATGAGATGGTCACAGAATTTCTGAAATTAAATAAAGTTATTTTGCATAACATTTTCTCATAATTCACTGATTCTAATACTGAACATGTATCTAAAACAAACAGTTTTATTGTGAACGCTTGTCTTTGCTGTGCTAAATGCAGCATAAACGTGTCGTCTTATTTTCACCATTTGATTTCTGTAACTCCGGGTCCTGAATGCTGAGCCATGAATCACTCGACGAGTGAAGATCCGCTGGGATTTGAAGGATGTCTCATGTCTCTTGACTGAGTCAGACACACAGGCCTTGTGCAATTCTCAAAATACCTCAGGCAGTGCCAAAGAAATTCTCATTCTGTGTTGTTTTCTTCATCCTGCTGATAAAAATGCAGTTACTGGCATATTGGATGGCTTTTTTGGAGGTCATCCTGCCAGTCAAGATCTTCCACGATCCTCCATAAAGCGACTCAGAGCCATCAGAACAAACAATGATGGGCAATAAGACCGTTTCCCTGAGGCGGGGACTCTCAACAACTAAACTAAACTGCTCCCTGTGTGAAATGTGCATTTTGATGATCCTATTTTTGTCCATGTGTTCTTCGTGCTGACTAGAGTCTACTGCACTGCTTATGAATCCTACATGTTGCAATCCGATTCGCATATATGTTTTTATGTAACGAAACGAGTTCAGAACCACCACTATACTGTCACAGGACATTTTCTTGGTTGTTTTTACCTTGACACATCTGAAAAGAAAGCTGCTTATTTCAGAAGAGATAGCAATATTTAGCAAATATTCAGTCTCCTCCATTACGTTAATAAGACGTAGACCCAAATAAAGTTTGTAAGACGTAAAACATACACAACAAGCATCATGGCACTGTGCATGTACAAGGTATTCTTTATTTCTGATTGAGAAAATAGTCAGATTCAAGCTGAATCTGAATGCAATGATTGGACGAAAAATGTTTGGTCTTAAGACTTCCACAGAATATACACTCACCTAAAGGATTATTAGGAACACCATACTAATACTGTGTTTGACCCCCTTTCGCCTTCAGAACTGCCTTAATTCTACATGGCATTGATTCAACAAGGTGCTGAAAGCATTCTTAAGAAATGTCGGCCCATATTGATAGGATAGTATCTTGCAGTTGATGGAGATTTGTGGGATGCTCATCCAGGGCACGAAGCTCCCGTTCCACCACATCCCAAAGATGCTCTATTGGGTTGAGATCTGGTGACTGTGGAGGCCATTTTAGTACAGTGAACTCATTGTCATGTTCAAGAAACCAATTTGAATTGATTGGAGCTTTGTGACATGGTGCATTATCCTGCTGGAAGTAGCCATCAGAGGATGGGTGCATGGTGGCCATAAAGGGATGGACATGGTCAGAAACAATGCTAAGGTAGGCCGTGGCATTTAAACGATGCCCAATTGGCACTAAGGGGCCTAAAGTGTGCCAAGAAAACATCCCCCACACCATTACACCACCACCACCAGCCTGCACAGTGGTAACAAGGCATGATGGATCCATGTTCTCATTCTGTTTACGCCAAATTCTGACTCTACCATCTGAATGTCTCAACAGAAATCGAGACTCATCAGACCAGGCAACATTTTTCCAGTCTTCAACTGTCCAATTTTGGTGAGCTCTTGCACATTGTAGCCTCTTTTTCCTATTTGTAGTGGAGATGAGTGGTACCCGGTGGGGTCTTCTGCTGTTGTAGCCCATCCGCCTCAAGGTTGTGCGTGTTGTGGCTTCACAAATGCTTTGCTGCTGCCTCGGTTGTAACGAGTGGTTATTTCAGTCAAAGTTGCTCTTCTATCAGCTTGAATCAGTCGGCCCATTCTCCTCTGACCTCTACAATCAACAAGGCATTTTCGCCCACAGGACTGCCGCATACTGGATGTTTTTCCCTTTTCCCACCATTCTTTGTAAACCCTAGAAATGGTTGTGCGTGAAAATCCCAGTAACTGAGCAGATTGTGAAATACTCAGACCGGCCCGTCTGGCACCAACAACCATGCCACGCTCAAAATTGCTTAAATCACCTTTCTTTCCCATTCTGACATTCAGTTTGGAGTTCAGGAGATTGTCTTGACCAGGACCACACCCCTAAATGCATTGAAGCAACTGCCATGTGATTGGTTGATTAGATAATTGCATTAATGAGAAATTGAACCGGTGTTCCTAATAATCCTTTAGGTGAGTGTATATGTATTTAAAAAAAAATATTTATACCACTTCTATTAATGATTGCTATCAAGATGTGAAGAGAGCTTCAACCAGTATAACAAAAAGTGTTTATAAACAAATTGCCTACCTTTTTTAATGTAGCTAATAGTAAAATCCCTTAGTATAAAAGCACCTGCTAAATGACACAGCTCTTAAAAGTGTAACAGAACTATTAGGAACAATAAAAAAAAATTACATCTGGAAAAAAAAGGTGCCATGCAAAACTCTCCTCCACAATGCCTAAAGTGTTCTGGGTGGTTACTATAGCGCCTTATTATGTAGGTGGTTGCCAGGGGGTTGCTAGGGATTTCTTGGGTGGTTGGTTATTTTGTGGCCCAAGTCAAAACATATTCTGGTAAAATCTATGGCCCGTTTGCCCGTTTTCTCATTCACCTGGCAAAAATCTTTTATCAGTAATAATGAAATTCTTCCTCCAAGTAAAAGGCACTAAAAGGTGCTTTATGCTACTTACTAAGTAATACAATTAATTTGTCCATGT